CGGCCAGTCAGTTATTTCGCCTCCGTTTCAACTGTGGTGCACTGAGAGCCCTATAAATACCTCCCTAGGCACGAATTAAAGGACAGAGAGCATTTTTGGAGCAGAAGATACTTGAGTCTTTGGTGATTTTGAGAAAGAAAGAGAGAATTTTCACCCTCTGACAAGCATCATTTGGTGAATCCTAGAGATCTAAGCTCAGACTTGATCTTTGGAAGAACGGACATCTTACATCGATAAGATATTCGTTTTCAAATCTTTACTTCGATAAACGAAGGAGAGATCCTTAAACAACCTCTCGATCTACGAATCGGTGGTCCACGAACTAAAGCGTTCCCGGCACAGGCAAAGTCCCACAAAAGCAGGAGTTGATAAACAATTTCTGTGTTATTTTCTCGAGAGTTGTATTTTCTTTTATTTTCATTGTAATTCTTTGTAAACGATCGAAGTTTTAATGGAATCTGCAATGGAAACAACTTTCGCTGAAAACAAACTGGCGACCACAGTGGGAGCCAGCGGCCTCGCTGCCGAGGCCGCAGTGTCGCAGCCGATTAAGATCATCGTCACCGAAGAGATCGAATATGAATTCGATCAGGCAAAATACGAGGAGTATATGTCATCCTCGGGTCCATTAAAACTATCACGTTAACAGTTACCTTTGATAGTCCATCAACTTGCCAATCTTTTTCAGTAGGATGACAGATCCACAAAACTATCACGTTAACAATTACCTCTGATAGTCAAACTCATCAGATAATGGCCTACCAGGTGATGTGCCTCTATTCCGACTTCATGGATAGTGCCTCACTAGGTGATGTGCCTTGTCTACCTCTTTTTATTCCCATGCTAAGTCTTAATCAAGACTGGGGGTTGGTTTGTGCCTCTATTCCGACTTCATGGATAGTGCCTCACTAGGTGATGTGCCTTGTCTACCTCTTTTTATTCCCATGCTAAGTCTTAATCAAGACTGGGGGTTGGTTACTTGGAATCCACTAGATTAAGAGTAACGAATCTTTCACATCGTCGAGTTAACATTACACTTCAGACGATAATCACCCCCCACAGAGTATGAATGCAGCTTGCATCACTCCCAATTTGTCACGTTAACAATACACCTCTGACAATCAACTTATCAATCCTTGTAAATAGGATGATAGGTCCTCGAAATTGCTCAAATCGCAATCTTCCCCAGCAAGACACTAAGTCTTCAAAATTTTATTCAAATCACAAGTATCAGAACTCATCGTTCCTGATGATAAACTCACCTAGCAAGTTTTCCCAGCGAGACGCTAATTCCCAAAATCTTGTGCAAGTCACAAGTACATATTCTTCTTGTCACGTTAATATCACACATCTGACAAAATCCATTTATCGACTCTCTTCAATAGAGCGATAAGTCCACAAAATTGCCCCGATCGTAATATATAACCCGTCAAGTTAACACCACACCTCTGACGACCAAATCAACTTATCAATCCTCTTCAATAGGATGATAAGTCCATAAAGTTGCTCCGATCGCAACAAACACCCGTCAAGTTAACACCACACCTCTGACGACCAAATCAACTTATACCCGTCAAGTTAACACCACACCTCTGACGACCAAATCAACTTATCAATCCTCTTCAATAGGATGATAAGTCCACAAAGTTGCTCCGATCGCAACAAACACCCGTCAAGTTAACACCACACCTCTGACGACCAAATCAACTTATCAATCCTCTTCAATAGGATGACAAGTCCACAAAGTTGCTCCGATCGCAACAAACTTCCGTCATGTTAACACCACACCTCTGACAAAATCCACTTATCAACTCTCTTCAATAGAGCGATAGGTCCACAAACAAGTCAAGTTAACATCACACATCTGACGACCAAACCAACTTATCGACTCTCTTCAATAGAGCGATAAGTCCATAAAATACTGTTAGGTTAACATCACACCTCTAACAGCCAAACCCCCAATGAACTTGTTAATCCTTTTTCAACAAGAATAGCAAGTTTTTATTATAAAATCCTCAGTGGATTAAAGATTTTCTGGATTTATCCTAGTGATAACCAAGAAAATTTTTAAATTTCATTCTAAGTGAAAATTCATGCCAAGTTAATACTACACCTCTGACATTTTCAACTTTCTTTCAGTGTTTCAAGTAACACAGGAAGAAACAGGGACTAAGTCTACGTATTAAATATCGTAGTCAGTGATTATCATTAAATTAATAATCTCTGAATCCATACCTCGCATGTATGTGGAATTTTATCCTGAATCCTAAGTAGGGATAAGTCAACGCCTAATACGCGTTGTCGGTTAGTCTTTAACCGTAATAAGGTCAAAAACCCACGTATTCAACATCGTGGCAGGTCGTTATTAATAACGCCAAAATTCATGCCTTACACGCATGGGGGACTTTATCTCGATCCCTAAATAGAGATAAATTTGCATCTAAAACATGCTGTCGGGTGGTTCATTCCCGTAATAATGGCAAAGTCTACGTATTCAACATCGTAGCACCAAAATCCATGTCTTACACGCATGGGGGACTTTATCTCGATCGCTAATTAGAGATAAGCCTACGCCTAACACGCGTTGCCGGTTAGTCTTTTCCCGTCAAAATGACAAAGTCTATGTATTCAAAATCATAGCATCAAGACTAAGAGGGTTCATTCTCTTAGCACAACGTTACATGTGGAACGGACTTAGATAATCCACATGCTAGCCCGACTCAAACGATAGTCGGTAAAGGCTTATCAAATCCGTTGATGGCTGAGGGTTTGCCAAAAATCCTATGAATGTTTGCGGGCCCATCAGCTGAATGGATGTGAGCCGTGGCGTGGCGTTTGAGAGCTTCTGCTCATGAGTGGCTTGTATCGTCGCTACAGGTTTCTCTTCGAAGCTCATCCTCACTCAGGTCCTGTGTGTCAAATCTCTTCAACCAAGATGCATTTGAAACGGGTACAGAGAACAAATCCTTTGTGACAAGGAATCAACAGCTCCAAGATTAGATCAGAGTTAAGATCCAAAGTATTCCGAAAATTCGTCTCAATCAACCGCGAACTTTCGAAAACTTTGGAAGGGGTTCTGTAGGCTGTCTAAAAATCACTACAGATAACTTATCCCCATCAAACACCAATAATGAAAGTTACAATCTGACGACTTCCAGAAGGCTACAATTTGAAGACTTTCACGTAGAAGGTTACAATCTGACGACCTTCACAACAACTTATGAAAGCTCTAATTCAACAGTCTTCACAATCAACATCTGGAGTTACAATCTGATGACTCTCATATTTTCAAGGAGCCAAGACGAATGTTACAAGGTGACGATCTTTGCAACGCTCTAGAGACTACAAATTGACGGTCTCTTCATATTAAAACACAGATATCTCTCAAACCGTAAGGAATTTGGCAAAACTGATGGAACAAACCGAACCCTATGGGGTCGGTTTGGTCGGCTTCGTCTCGTCGAGATAGCCGATTTTCATATATAATTCGTTCAATTCCGACTTACGGTTTGAAAGTTATGACCTGTTCTTCGTAGCAAGTTATGTTCTGAAGTCCGTCTGCAAGACTGGACTTCGTCTGAACATTGAACTTAGCCTGCGCCTGAGACTCACCTCTGCATCCAAGATTCGAAACGCAGAGATCATGCCCGCGTTCTAAACTCAAAACGCAGAGGTCGTGACCGCATTTGAGATTCAAAACGCAGAGGTCGTGGCTGCGTTCCAAACTCAAAACGCAGAACGCAGAGGTCGTGGCTAAGTTCCAAACTCGAAACGGAGAGGCTGTGGCTATATTCCAGAGTCCAAACGCAGAGTTCGTGGACTCAAAGCGCAGAGTCCATGCAGAACTCACCTCTGCGTTTCCCAAACACAAAACGCACACGGACTGTGCGTTCTCCAGCAGACATTCAACTCTGCAACGTAGAGTTAAAACACGAAACGCACACAGACGGTGCGTTCTTCAAATACTCAATCCTGAGTCTCAAACTCAAGACGCAGAGTTGGGATTCAGCACACAAGCGGCCTGTGCGTCACTAATTTCCAGAACGCATGCGGCCTCTGCGTTTCAAATCTCTAGCAGAGATTTAACTCTGCGCCTCAAGCCTTAGGCGCAGAGTTAAGGCCCAGAACGCCAAGTTAGACGTTTGACTTGTTCAAACACAAGTTGAACGGCTTGACAACCGTTTATCCCACGATCTGAGGGATTCTCGCCCACTCAGGAGCGAATTAAGGGGGCGGTTACACCCCCTTAATCTCCTATAAATACCTCAAAACTCAACTGAGTTCACATCTTTTCTTTTTTTTTTTTTTTTTTGGGGGTGGGGGGGGGGGCAACAAAGAAGAGATCTTAAGCTGGCTTTTTGGGTCTAAGACTTGGCAGCGAGGAGGGAATTTCTTGGCTCGGATTAACCCTTCGGCGTGGTAGCAACAGGAGAGATCGGCATTCATCCTTTGGAGCATTCCTTGAAGCCTTCGGCCTTGGCTTGAGAACTGATTCTCGGTTCAAATCAACTCTTTTTCCAGAGTTATCAACTCGTCCAGAGTTATCAACTCGTCCAGAGTTATCAACTCGTCCAGAGTTTCAAACTTGCTTTGCAAGTTCTCCACAGCGTCAAATCGTTAGGAGAAGACTACGTTCCAGTGAATCAAGACGTGCGGATCGTCAACGGAGAGCAAACTTGACGCGAGCATTCGAGGGAGACACTCCATCGCCACCGTGAAGAACCCAGATTTAAACAAAGAGGAGAGTCAAATTCATTCTCCTCTCTTTTATAATAGGAATCCAAATTGTAATCGATTTTGAGAGAATACAAATCAATTTTTTTTTTCATTTCTTTTACATCGAATTTTTCCACAAACACATGCATAATAACCTGTTATAACAAAGTTATCATTTACTAGTTATAGGTTAAGCACAAAATTAAGAAATAAATCTGAGTGCTTGTTGCAGAACTATCACAATCTTGATATTCATCTTTCCAAATATAAATAAAATATGTACGTCAATAAATAGTAGTGAGTGGCACTAAATCAAGGTTTGAGAGACAAGTAAATAATTTATTTCGCTCTCTTGTTAAACAAAACAAGAGTTGCAACCATCGCAGCACCTAATAATTGAAGACTTGGACCACTTGATGAACATATTCAGAAATTATGCTAAACATGCAAGCAGAGCTATAGCATCACAATATTTTGGGAAATTTAAAAAAAAAGGAAAAAGAAAAGAAAGGGGGCAAAAAAGAACACGACTAGAATCAGCAACAAACGAACCCTCAACAAAATCTTCCTTGCAAACCAGTGAACTTCTCAAGCCATAGCATCTGCAAGTTGAAGGAGGGAAAAAAATGCATTACTACACTAAATAAGAATCCCTTAGGAAGGAAAACATAAGCACAATACAGAAATATACATAATTACAAAAAATAATACAAGAATTAAGCCTCAGATTTTTAATGAACCCAATCTCATATCAAGCAGAAATTAGTTGTATACAATCATTGGCAATCAGTTGCCATCTACACAAGTTTGTACGACACTATGACAGACAGACAAAAGAACTCTCCGATACAGGCGACTAGTTGGTAAGATGGCTAAACATGTAACAGATAATAGTCTGCAGGAGTTTCAATATGAATTGACGAGCAGCTGTCTAATTTATTCGTTTGAATTTGGGCACAGGAATTCGATATTCAGAAGACTGTCTTATTTTAAGCTTTTCACTTCTCCTCTCATACCTAGAGCAGAAAGAGCCCATATGCTACTTAAACATCTTAAATATCTTTACCGATATAACAATATATAAAAAGACCTGTATCAATCTTAAAGCACTCACACAGACTACTGTTAGCTCGTCGCAGATTCAAAATTAGGTTTTACCACTCTCAAGATTGTGATCTAATAAATACAAAAAAATCATGGGTAATCCGTACCCCTAACAGACTATAAATTTCACAAGCTTCCATAGTAAAAAAAAAAAAACAATAAACTCCGTAACCTAACTGTAAATTCAATTTTTGAGGACACAAAGGAGTATGCTCCAGTCAATAAATACATTTTCTATTGCGGAGCTTATAATTACTCAAATCATGTGTCAAAGAACAAGAACACATGTTCCCATGCAGTATAATACATGTTCTTCCATTATCTTGCGAACAGCTTCACTGCATGCATATCCTAAGCTGATCATAGAGCCAATATATCTGGCCAGATTGGCATACTACTGGTTGTTCCAAAAGATGAGGAGAGACAAATGAACCTGACGAATTGTGCCTAACTTCTTCCTACTTGCTCTTCAATGATATCTTCTATTAGCCTTGTCTTACCAATTTTGCTCATTTTCCAAGAGTGCCATGTGGCAGTTCACTCTTAGCAATTTCCCTTTTCCGTTGGGACCACAACCTGCTGTTCCTAAACCATAGACTGCAACAAGTTGTTCCTGAACCACATTCCTCTCACCAGTTCAATACGGCCATGACTGATATAACAATTATAACAATAATCATTATAAATCCCCTCTTCGTGCCCCTTCTCCTTTTGCTACTATACCTCCTAAGGACCACTTCTCAAGTGGCACACTCCTCGACCTCTCTCGCCTATCCTAAACTACAGTTTTAACAACCAGCCAGTACAAAATACAAACATGTTTTGGCCATATGTCAACCAATAACATCCCCTGAAGATCGGTAACGGCTGGTGTTATGACCATTTCCAGCCAAAAAAAGGACAGGATCACAATACAGTTTAAAGAGAATAGAAAACCCAAGAAAAGGTATTACATACCCAGTGTGTCCGTGAACTGCCTAGTGTTTAAGCAGGGCCTACAGCGATTTCTGCAACTATATGGTTAGGTAAAGAAAACATTTATCACCATATAATGAATTAAGCATTAACGGCGTAACTTATAATTTTAAAGGCTCTGTAGATTTTTATTTGATTCATAGACAATGCATGATATCTCTCGAGACAAACAAATAACGCTTGGAATGCTACGACACGGAAGCTAATGTTTCTTCATTGTACTCAATATCCTACCAATAGCATCACAATTTCAGAAGATTTGCTCCTGCCTCGTTTCTTCTTCACTTTACAAGCAACTCCCCTTTACTTTGTGATTAACAGGCAATGAGCACAAACCTGATCTAAAGTTGACGCTTTTCCTGTCGAACTAGAGAGGAGTTGAATCGACTATCGCCTCCAGCATTATCTTTTTCATATTCTCCTCAGAAACCCAAACTGACGTCTGCTTCCTTAGCAGCTCCCTCTCTTCCTCCTTCTTCTTCTCCCTCATCTCCTCCTTCCCTCTCCAGCTCTCCAGCTTTTGAGCCCTCTCTTTCATCTGCAACCAAATTCATCCCACCAAATTAGATCAAAATAACGGGTAACCTTTCATGAACTACACCAAAAAATATCATAAAAATACTAAACTCTTTTGCATTAAACTAACTATTTGGTAGATATTAGGGTGAGTTGGCAATTGATACATATGTAAAATTCTATCCTATTTTTGTATTACTCTCCTAAATTGTTATATTCATAAATTACACACCAGATTTTTCATATTTGCTCAAACTGGAGGTGTTATTTAAAACAATGTAATAAATTTCGGGTTGCAAAACAACTTAATGGATTTAGGAGTGTATACTACAAATATGAAGAAAACACTAACAATCGATAATTATAGCAAATCTTGACTTGAGCAGAATCTAAAAGTGAACATCTCGAATGCCTTTTCCCTCGGCGGCACATGAGGAAGAGGAGAATTATCAGCAGTTTATCCTTCCAACGAAAAACTTGGCAACCCATGGATACCAAGCGCTGATAAATTAGCTAAAAGAGGCGTTAAGTGCTGCTGAAGATATAGATGAGGGGCGCATGTGCAAATTTACCCTAATAGTTTCGCAAAATTTATCCTAAAATGATGCATCGTGTAAAAAACAAACAAACAAACTGACGATTAGTTAGGGCAAAAAAAAAAAAAAAAGATCCCACCAGCATCTGCCTGAACTCCTCCTCGAAAGCCCGGCGCTCGACGGCCCTCGACTCAGCGGCCGCCGCCTTCTCCTTCTTCCGCTGCTCGTTCGCAACCCTCGCGGCCTCGCGCCTCGCCTCGTCTCGCCGCTCCTTCTCGGCCCTGAGCAAGCCCACCTCGTGCGCGTACGCCCTCCTCACCCCCTTCACCTTCTTCGCGTAGTCCTTGCGGAGGCGGTCGAGGCGGGC